TAAATGTCGCGTCCTTACTTCCCTCTCCCGAATTCTTCCTCACGTGAGAAGTTTTGCTCGAGCACTGTAGTGCAGCGACTGATGCGTCCCTTAGGGAGTCTCAAGTGGCAATTTCGGGCTCCAGGGTGAACTCAGTAAGAGGGAATACCATTTTTATGAAATTCCAAACATTCCTTACACTTTCGTTTTGACTTTTTCACAAAACAAAGCACTTTTTCCTTCCCTATGGTTGTAGTGAGAGGCAGTGTGGTGCTTGAAGCCGTGAACTTGATTTTCTTGCTTTCGAATTGGGCTGTTAGCAATAATCAATAAAGAGAAGTTCAAGGAAGATAGGAAAAAAGGAAAAAAAAATAGAAAAGCTTTCAAGGAGGATTTGTGTGGAAAAAGCCTATTTGTGGTAAAAATTTATATATTAATTATGTTTGGGGTTAAATAATGAGATGAGCCAAAATTTCATGAAATCCTAAGATATTTATGATTCTAGGTTGTCTATATTAGGTGGCGAGCTCGATGAAAACTTGGGAAAACTCGTCGTAGGGCTTTTCCGTCAATTTATGTGAAATGATCCTCTGCTAACTTAAGAAGAGTAACTTTGAGTGGATTTTCGTGTAATTATGTGTTTGATACTATTGCATTTAGAAGCTTTTACATATTGTAGATGAATACATATAGAGATTCTATGAGTGCAAACTTGATTTGTCCTTACTACATCCCTGATTTTATCAGGTTATGAATCTGATGATTCTACAACTGAAGTCATTGTTTGCAAGTATTCGTTTATTGTGATTCGTGCATATAATATATGAAATGCCTTTCATGAATGTTGGTTTCTTGAGTTATACTTAAGAAAATGTCACATGATGTTATAAATAGATTATTATATGAATACTTGTAAATACGGATGATAGAGAATAATGAGATTCTGGACTCCAGATATTCAGATGAAGACGAAACTGTCAAAATTGTTGGGATCGGATCACGACAAAACTTAGAGAACAATTGGTACCAGAAGCTATTAATAACTTTTGTGTTGAAAAGGTTAGTCCTTTATTAATAATTAATGTAGTCTTCGGGTAGGTGACGATCTAATGATTTGGCATGATGTAACATAAAAATTATTGAAACCTATTACAAGTATCATTTTTATGATTAGATTAATGATTCTTATGAACTTGCTTATAAATACACATGATTGTATGAAATACATATTTGAAACAACAGTTATGTTTTTTTTTGCATTACATGTTTCTTCTTTTACATGTTTTATATAATTATAGTATGTTATAATATGTTTTGTGAACATGTATATGAGTTACAGGTGAGCATGAACGTTATTTCTTTTTTGTTTTTAATTATATTTTATCCTTGATTGTTTTACTGTGCTCGTTGCTCATTTTGTATTGTTGATTTTCAAGAAGGGGCAAGGAGCACCACCCGAGCAGTCAGGTGTGACTTGTACAACTGTTGCTTTTCATAGTTGTGAGAGCTTATACAGGCTTCTGGGTATGTGCTCATGTTGATTTAGTAGCTCTACATATATTTTGGTGATATGATTTTTTCACACTTATGAGTATATGTGAACATGAATCATTTATGAAATAAAATATATCATGTATGTTTGCGGCGATTTAGTTAGAGTAGTCAATCACCAACGGAATCCTGATTTTGCAAGTCAGAATGAGTGCTAATGAGGATTTTTTTTGACTGAATCATCCATTTCTGTCGCACCACATTTGAATCTTAAAGCGGGTCAGTTAGGTTATTACAACGGCCTTGCTTGAGGAGAAACTAGTTCAGAGTGAATAGCTGGTGGAGCCAACCAACACTCTTAAATGCATCTCAGATGAAAAATGTTTCAATTGTCATGGTTTTGTGAGTTTCAACTTCAAGTCGACAAGGAAGTGACCCTATTGATTCAAGAGTCTCCAGCTGGATTAACAATTTTTGTTCTAAAAGATTGTAAGTCCAAGGAGCCGATACCTAAAAAGGTACAACCCTTGATGAATTACCAAACATCATGACTGATAGTTTATTTATTAGATGATTATGACCGAGAGTGGTTCAACATGCCATATCATTCATTCAAGTGTAGTTCCTCCAAACAAATTGGTAATGCACCCAACAAAGTAAGAGAAGTGTGAGATGCAAATTACATATTTAGTGGCTCGAGAATTGGTCCAACATGCCATATCTTTTATAAGAATCTTGTCCATTTGCAGTTCCAACACTGGTTGTGCTAATAAAAGATTGTTACTTATTCTATCAATATAGTCTTTGGAATGATGAGTGTGTTGTAGAGTTATCTGAAATGAGCGTGGTCGTAGTTTGGCGGTAGAGTTTCCTCAAACACAACAAAATAATGATTTTATAATGGGGATAGATTGATTCCATAAGCTTTCTGGGAAGAAGATGAAGGTCCTCCTACTTGAGGAGAATGACACCAGACACGAACCTACGGGAGTTCTGTGGGCCAGGTTCTGTGATCCCACGGTTTTGGAGCTCATGCAGTTGTGGGATTGACAACCAAGCTGCCTAATATTTCACAATTTAAGTATTTTCTTTTTTTTTAATTTCTTGCTTTCTTTCTTGATTTTAATAATTTCTAATTAGGTTTTCTATGAGGAAACTATATATATGTTCTTATTTTACTGTTTAGAAGATTTTTGATTTCGTTTATGTTATTTGGATATGTTTTGTCCTGATTATCTCTATTGAAGTGTTGTATTCTTAAATTTTTTTCTAGTGCTGCATCTGTAACCTGATAGGATGGAAGTGGTTATTTCTCCCTGAAGCTCGGAGGCCTCCTTTGTCATCCAACACACAGCTAACTGCTGTTTACTGCAGGGAAACTACAGTTACCAGTTCCAACTTGCTGTTCCGCCATTATTTTTGTCACAATTTCAGCTGACACCCTCCTCGACATCCACGCCACAATGTTTCTTGGTTTTCCCTACTGTTTTCAGTTGGGACAGCTGCCGAATATCGTCTATCTCCCTCCAAATATTGCTGATTGACCAAAATTTCATCCTTGATTATTCCTCTACCTCCTCCTTGTCAGACCCGCTTCCCAAACACCTGCTAGGAGCCCTAGATCGGTGTCAACTTTTGCTTGAGGGGGAGTGTTTTAGAACGTATTAAATCTAATGTTGAATTTTAGGAAGCTGTTATATTAGAAAACGTGATATTAGGTTAACCTAATAATCTGAGATCTATTTGCGAGATCTTGTTTATTTTATAAATATTTTCTAATCAATAGAGACAGGAGTGTATATAAATTTGTATTATATGCTTTCAATTATTCCAATTGCGGAATAAGAAGAAAGGAAGTTTCTTGTTACACTTGCTATAAATTTGGTTTCATATTATAGACTCAAGAATAGCTACATCATAACATCTTCTTAATTTAAATATATATAATTGTTTGATGATGGTTGAAATATTGATGCTGTCTGTGGCATAGTTTATGAAGTGGTGGCTTCTCAACCATGTTTTAGTTATATATTTTATTTGTAGAAGTTGATGCCTTGAAAATTACAGACTGAAAAGCAACACTGGATATAATAATATATAATATATTTTAAGGGGGTTTAAATTTTTGGGATGACAGCTGTGCATGATTCATGACATGGTGGCAGCTGAATGCATGTTTCCGTTGTATTGGCAATCTGTGGAAGTTGATGCTTTCAAAATTCAGAATGAAGGTAACCACTTGCTTCAAGCATATCTAATTTAATGCGAAATTGTAAATATTTGCGGCAATGTTTCCGCTATGATTCACGATGGAGCAGCACCTAAAACAATTCTTGTCTTATGTTTGCTATTTGAAGAGGTTGGTCCATTTAAATTTCAGATAGCTTTTTTTTTGAAATATGGTACATAAAAATTTTAATATGAATATTAAATTATATTGGCATCTTTTGATTTCAATATAACAGTTAGGTATCTTTGGATTTCTATATAACCTAAGTGTGGTCAGAATGTGCAGCACTAGCATGGTGATCAGTTAATAACTTTTGAGACTGTTGAAGTTGTTAAAATATTTTTTTAATCGATTTGGTTGCCTAAAGGTAGATTAATGCATATCTGGAGAAGCTCATGTGGTCATTGTATGATGTCCACCTTGAAATAGAAATTACGCTATTTGTAATGATGAACTCAAAATTGCTTTTAGAGTTCATTTTCTTTATCTTTGCAACTTATTCAACACAATCTTCAAATATATTTTCTTTAGGAAGTATGAGAGGCCTTATTATTTTGTTAGCTTTGCTATTGTCGAACTTTAATCTTCAAGAAGTATCTCTATGTTATTTTTTTATTTTGAGAGCCATTTGTGAAATTTATTGATTTTACTTGAATTTTGGTATTGATGAGGTTCAAGTAATGGACTGAGTTTTAAAGTTTATTGCTAAAAGAACACAGGATAAGAAATAGCAGTTTTTATTGGGAAAGTTGCCAAACTTGTTGTTCATGTTAAGAAGCAAAACAATCCCGGGGACAAAACTCAAAAAAGTTGCATTCTTCATTCTGAAGGCCCAAGTATCTACTATTCTTCTATAATTCTTTATTCTCATGCCTTTCTTTTTCAGATGGTCTTTTGTTATAATCCTGAAGAAATGTAAATTCCAAAATGTTTTGTAGCGTACATCTCCCAAAAGAATTATTTCCTATCCTTATGTACAAATGACCTCGTTTTACGAGTGTTTGTCTATCACATGTATTTTGTAGAGTAATAGTATCTTGTGAAAGCGGAAGATCACTAGGAAATGTCTTCCAGCATTTGACGTAATAATGTTTGGCGTTAGTTTGCAAAAATCAGCAATTTAGTTTGCTTATTTGGTTATTAATTTTTTTTGCTGTTTGTGCTACTTTTTTTTTTTTTGGTTTGTTTGCAAGTTATTTATTGTTTTCTTACATAAATTAGAATGACTTTTTCGTAACTCTTCTATGTCAATATGATCTTGCATTCTTGCAAAATTCATTTTTTCCCCCCTCCCTTTTAGACAACTTCTGGATCCATCTGGGAAAATGCAATTGCTAGATAAGATGATGGTGAAGTTAAAAGAGCAGGGTCACAGGGTTCTCATATATTCCCAGTTTCAGCATATGCTAGATTTGTTAGAGGACTACTTGAGTTATAAGGTATGTTTCTTCTGGTATTCAAGGCACTTTTGTTGGAGAATTTAAGTTCCTTAGATTGCCAACTAGCAAGAGCAATTAGGTTTTGTCTTATAAAAGTATTGACTTAAAGCTTTATTGATTGGAAGAAATGGAGTTATGAGCGGATTGATGGAAAGGTCAGTGGAGCAGAAAGACAGATACGAATTGACCGATTCAATGCCCAAAATTCAAATAGGTTTTGTTTTCTGCTTTCTACCAGAGCTGGCGGATTGGGTATCAATCTTGCAACGGCTGATACTGTTATCATTTATGACAGGTATTATTTTCTTTTTAAATTTGGTTGAATGTATGGTATATTTCTTCAACATATATCTCTTCATGGTGTTAACACCTTAAGCTGTACATCCCTATGTTCTTCAGCGACTGGAATCCTCATGCTGATTTACAAGCAATGGCTAGGGCACATAGATTGGGGCAGACGAATAAGGTTTTATGATGTCTGCTGTTTAATTTTAAGATGTCATGCTATAGTTGATGTCATTATATCTGTATTTATCAATTGCACATAGGTGATGATATACCGACTTGTCACTCGGGGAACCATAGAAGAACGAATGATGCAGTTGACAAAGAAAAAGATGATTTTAGAGCATCTTGTTGTTGGTAGACTTAAGGCACAAACTGTTAATCAGGTATAATCTGGTTTTTCGGTGCTCATCTTCTAAGATCAGAATTAATTGTATGTATGGTTTCTTCTTTGACTTGTCAGGGATCTGAGCATGTCTTCTATTTTATGCTTTTTAGTTTGGTAGGCTTGATGAAGAATGCGTGCCAGATACCCAGCTCTATGTTATCTTGTAGTTGAAATAATCAAATTGGACAGGCTTGTAGCTTGACAGCTTTTGTCATCAGATTGAGGAAACAAGTGCTTTTTCTTCAATCGTTTTATGGCTTTTTAAGTACGAAAGAACTATTAGTGATTCAACCATATTTGGGCATGTTAAGCCCTTTCCTGATAACCTACTCGAGTTCTAAACTTGAGCTTGGGAAAACTTATGCTTCTACAACATAGCATGCTAAAAGCTTGTAAATTTTAAAAAAACTTCATGTCGGACCTTCTTGATTTAGTAAATCAAGGAGATGAACCTGTGTCTTTTGGAATTGTCTTGTTATGTATTGTTTAAAATTGATTTTGTCTTGACCCGGCTTGGGAGATTGGAATACCAATGCTGGAACGGATAGTCAGATGGAGGAAAATAACTTTCTAAACATTTTTATTTATTAAACAAAATTATTCAACATGTAAAAGAGCCATTTTAACTTTTATAATTGAAAGAAAACTAAAAGCTGAATTGTAGTACCTATCTCTTCGAACTTATCTGTGTTTGTCCACATACTTCCTAGGAGCTATCTATTTTATAGTAGGTTTTCCTGAAAAATAGTAACAGTTAAAGATATAAGTTAAACAACTTAGTGGGTAAAATATTTCTAAATTATAATAATTCTTATTTTAATAATATTTTTTCAAAAAAATAAGCAGTAAAAATACCGTAAGCATAAAAATAAAATAATAAAGAAATCAGTTTTGTGATTACTTTTATTCGTTATAATTATAATATTTTTTTATGAGGGTCTTCGTCTAAACGTATACTAAAAGTATAAATTTAACATTTTCTAAAATCCACAAAAAAATGTTGGCAACTATTTCATCTTCAATTTTCATTTTCATTTTCATATTTAATGCACGCATACATTGCATCTCTTGCTAAGCATCATCCACATATGACGCATACATATATCATATTTAATTTCTTTTTTTAATTTGGCATAAAAACCATGAAACTTGTATTTTTAAGAGGAGGTGCTCTAAACAGCAGAAACAGTTATAACTAAAAGCCATAAAGAAAAAGAAATATTATAAAATAAAAATATACTTGTACACTTGTTTAATGCAGTCTGCTATGCTTTTCCTCACTCGGTCTAGTCCTTTGATTTATCTATTTCAACACATCGACTTTGATTAGCTTTTATTCATTTTTAACCCTTTTTTATATTGATTAACTTCACAATCATCATCATCATCATCATCATAATTATCATCATTATTCGATACACTCATTTATAATTTTTCTACTTAATTAGCTAATTATTGCTTTATATGAAAATATATATTATGATTCAAATTATTGGGCTTTTAAACAAAAGATTTTTAAATTTTGGTATTCTCAACACTTTTAATTATGAAATTAACAATTAATAAATCAACTGTAATAAATTAAATCAAGCTTCTTATATGTAATATCCTTCTCGTTTTTCTGTGTTAACCTTCTCACCAAATGCCCTGAACAATTTTTAATGTTGGATTTTTTGAAATTTAACTGAATTAACATGGAATCAAAATTTTCTTAGCATCTTGACTAATGAAAAATTAAAATTTCATGTATACAAAAATTTCAAATTTATTACCTAAACCATAAACTCTTTCATTCCCCTCACTGCCTTACCTAATTCTGCACAGGGCTTGGTTAAGCTCTCCCAGATGCAGAAAAATGCCGCGCACATGAGACACTGCGGAAAATGCTGCTTGCCTCCCCGCTTCCTTGCTCGATGGTGCTTGGAACCAAACACCTCTGCTTGAAGAAAAGCCTTGCTTGAGCCACCCCTCGTGCTAGGAGCTTAAGGAGCTCCTTTGAGCTTCTCTTGAGCACAGGAAGTGGCACCTGAATGAAGAGAAACTGCACGATCTCCAACTACTTTTGATTTGATTGATATTCAAAACTTGGAATCAGTTTAAATCCCACTTTGGATTTAGAGTGCCTAACCAGGTTGTAAACTCATTCCCAACGTTTATTCACTTGGGTAGTAATCTAGTCCCTCCTATGTTTTTTTGCTTCTGATGATCTTGATGCTTGGGATTTTGGTGATCTAAGCACTCTTTCTATTTCCTCGAATGTTAGCTTTTATGGCACATAGAAGATTTGGAGAAAAAAAAAAAAAATCAATTTCTATAGGAAGGGAGTAAACCATTACTCTCCAAAATATACCAGGCTCCAAGTTAGATTATTTAATGTGGAGTTAGCTTGTTGATGGAATTATTTTATTTTTTATTTTATGTAGCATTGCTTTGCTTGTTTCATATAGCAATAAATTTTATGCTTAATAAAATGAAGCATGTGATGGAAGACCTTTTTTGTTACCTAGGATGTCTATTAGGAAAAAAATTCCTCTTTTTTTTTAATTGTTCTTTTGTATTTTTTTTTTGAAATTGATAATAGATTTAAAGATGCCCTTCGTATGTTTTTCTAAAAAGTTTGCTGCATATAAAGGCAGTCAATGTTGGTGAGAGAATTTCATTTGTAGTAGTTGCTTTTATGATTGTAACTCCACCCTTTTTTTATCCTCTGTTACAATATCTTTAGGCAGTATATTAACGAACATTGCTAATAATGCTTGGACGTTGCATTTCCTGCAGGAAGAGTTAGATGACATCATAAGATATGGTTCGAAGGACCTTTTTGCTGATGATAGTGATGAAGTTGGAAAAGCTCGCCAAATTCATTATGATGATGCTGCAATTGACAGGTTGATTCATCCGAAACATTTTATTTGCTTCATTACTGCAGTGTGATTTTTCTTATCTTCTTTTTATTGGTCTTTGGTAGGTTACTTAATCGTGATGAAATCAGCACTGAAGAGCCTTCAAATGATGATGAAGATGATGACTTACTGAAAGCCTTCAAGGTGCTAACTTATACAATTTTTCTTGTTGTCTCTAGTATGGATATTGGTTGCTTCACAACATTACTTTGTTACTAAAGATGGGTAATTATAATTTTTTTTTCCTTTTTATTAAAGAACACAAACTACATTATGGATTTGCTGCATTATTGTAGCGCAAACAGAGCCAATATGTTTATGATTAGGGGGAGACATGCGATGGTGGTATTGAGTCTTTTGGGCTAGGGTTTGGGAGAGACTTCTTAACTCTCAAATAGTAGGATTTGGGAGAGATTGTTCATCTCTTGAATTGTATGTGCTTATGTTTTTTGTATTCGTGCTGAGTGTTTGGTGTTCTAGAAATAAAATTATTATTGGTCCTAATTTCTGTCTTAAAATTTGTCTAGGGTCGTATCAAGCGGTATAAGAGCAATCGATTTATGGGGTATTAACTACGAGATAGCAACTGCATTTGTTCGTGACCTAGCCTCGCGAAACAACCATGATCCGAGCAATCTAGGAGGACAACGATGGGACCGGCTTGAGATTCGGCCACAAGTTGACCTAGCTAAAATTTACTTTTTTTTTTCTACTTTTAATTTAGTTTTTATTTGCCACTTTTGTCCAAATAATATTTTAAAAGCCATCAAAGTCTGAAATTTCACAGGAAATCTTGGAACTAATAATTCCTTTACAATGAATTTAGATTTGCACCTATATATATATATATATATATATATATACATACATACATATAGATATAATGACGATGTGAAATTGAGGGCAAACATATGAAATTAGGATTACACCAGGATCTTCTCAAAGAAATCCATCACAATTGAGGGTAAACATATGAAATTTCTCAAATGGACCCCTAATTTTGATCCCAGTGAAGAACCCCCAATTGCGCCTATCTGGTTCTCATTATCTGAACTCAAGCTTCATTTGTTTGACCTATCTTTCTTATATGCAATTGAAACTATCATTGGAAAATCTTTACAAATAGACTTACTCACAGTTCATTTCTCAAGGCCCTTAATTGCAAGGATTTTGATTGAAAGAGATATTACACTACCAGATGTAGAAGAAGTCTGGGAAGTCTTGTAGAAGAAGTCTGGCTTGACTCTGCTCACAATGGTTATTGGCAAAAAATCATTATGGAACAAAAATCTTACTATTGCAAGCAGTGCAAGATGCTTGGTCACCTGCAAGAGAAATATTTCAGATTGCACCCACACAGTTGAGAACTGAACTAATAGTCAAAAGCAAGAACATGCTGTTAGTGTACCCCACGTGCCTGAATGCGCTCCCAACAAACCTGATGACAGCCAACTTGAGGAGGGAATCACCACAAGACAGGAGTTGGTGTCTGCCCCTGGGACCCTTCTCCCGACCATACTACAATGGATAATTTTCGGACCGAAAATTAGGATAGCTCCGCAACATCCTTTGCTAATATCCTTACTGTTGAGAGCCTAACCAAATTTTCTCAGGATAGCCTAACCAAATTTTCTCAGGATTTGTTAAAGTGATATCCTTTTCAACCAACACTCTGACTTTTGAAGGACGTGAAAGATTAAAAGTCGGAACATCCATTTTGAGTAACCTACCATAGACATCAGCAATAAAGCACAACACTTCTTGATTTAAATAATGAAATTTCAGGTTCAATCTAGATCGGCATGGTTGATGGTTCTGTCTGTGAGTCAAAATCCACAGTTCATTTTAAAATTTTCATTACTCAGTTATCAATCCAATCTAGTTTTCTTGTAAATTTTTAAGTTGAATAAAGATGTGCAAACCATTTAAAAATCCAAAAAGCTCAAATTTCCTACATGTAAGCTCAAATTTGGGCTGAGCATAATGAAATTTCCTGACCAAATTCAGAAGACAAGAGGAAATAAACAGAATACATTTGTTTCAGTAAAAAAAAATGTCTGGCTTCCCATCCTTCATACCAGCTTTCTTGATGCAACAGGACTCGCCACCCTCTGGCGGCGCAAAAGAAGACGGGATCAAACACGATTTATGAGTACTTGAGGCGTGAACACCCGCATGGGCAACAACATAAGTTCTGTTCGAAGCCATCACCTGTTGAAGCAGGAGGTGAGGCGTTAACGGGCAGTAAATAATGCAGTCGAGGAAAGAGCAAACGACGAAACCTCACCACAAAAAAAGAACCCAGCAGCCCAAGGGTAAGAAACAAATTGAACGACAATTAGGGCAACTGCGGCATGTAGAGGGAGGAAGCGAAACCTAGGCGAAGGAAGCAACGCGGCTTGGACACCGAACCCTATTCGAAGTGAGCAACGACGTTTTGCTCGCGTGTAGAGGGAGGAAGCGATCGAAGGCAAAGGAGGAAGTTCTGCAGCTTTGTTGAAAGGAGAATGGTAGTCGTGAGTTTGTCGTTACTGAAGCCCCGAATAGGCCGTCGCCAAAAACCTAAATCGAATTTACTTCATTTTTGCTATAGGCGGATACTATATATATAATAATAAAAAGATGATGGTAGGCTCTGCTTGAGTTTCACCTTATGGCGAAATCGGGTGTCTGCTCTGTTGATTCTTGCTTCGTTTGCTATTGCGGTTTTCCCCTTCATCGTCCTCATCGACTTTGCTCGTCGTTCTTCGTAGTCCTCATCGACTTTACTCGTCGTCGTCATCAACTTTGCTCATCGTCCTTCGTCGTCCTCATCTGTTTCGTCTGTTGCTACGGTTCCCTTCCGTCGTCTGTGCTCGAACCAGAACGACTTTTCTCTGCCTCGATCCTTTGCTGCCCTGTGTTGGATTCAACATTCGCTTTTCGAACTTTCCTTTGCACCGATCCCTGCTGCGGTGTGTTGCGCTTTGCTTACTGCATTTTGCATCTATCTGCTTTCATCAGACCGTCCCTGCTTCGATAGGTGTGCTCCCTCCTTCGGCTGAACCCGACAAAGTCTCTTTTGCTCACGTGATGAGTAACTATCATGTGGAGTCGGCTGTTGTCTTCCCGTCATGTTGTAAGGAATGTAGTGATGATACGAGTGACTGCCCTTTTATTAGGAATGCGAGTAAGAAGAGTGAGAAAATAACTCTCTTTTTCTCTAATTTAGAAATTTCAACCTTGGCTGAGAAATACAAGTTCGCTCTCATTGAAAAATGTCAGTTGGGGCACCTCTCTATGGAAGTTATCAGAAAGAGTTTTGAATATCTCAAACTAGTAGGAAAGTGAGAAAAGAGACTTCTTGATGCGAGACATGTGTTGATTCAGTTAACCTTGGTTGAAGATTACGCTTAGATTTTCTCTAATAAATATCTTAACATTGCAGGAAAGTCAATGAAGTTGTTCAAATGGTCTTCTTATTTTGATCCAAATCATGAATCTCCCACTGTACCGGTATGGTTTAGTTTACCTGGTTTTAAGCTACATCTATTTAATCATTAGGTTCTATACTTTATTGAGGTCATACTTGGAAATTCTATGAAACTAGATCTACCAACCTTCAATATAACCAGACTTTCTGTTGCTAGAATACTTGGGGAAAGAGATATCACTTTATCTGATATTACAGAAGTCTGACTGGACACAACACATAATGGATATTGACAACAAATTGTCACGAAACATAGACCATTTTATTGTGCCCATTGTAAGATGTTTGGACATACCCTTGACAAATGTCACAGACTCAACCCTAACTTGATACCTAAAGCTCATCTGCATAAGGATGGGCCTAACCCCAGTGCTCTGGATACATCTACTCCTGTGGTGGAAATTACCAAAAGACAGGAGTTGTTTTCTGGTTTTATTACCCTGGGGAGAACTACCTCTTCACTTGTGGAGGAGCCTTTGAGGCCTGCTCCTACTGTCTTGAGGGGGATTGCTCATTTATTATACCTCCTGTGGAACCTTAGTTGGTTGTGAATGAGGAGTCATTGCCCCAGTTTCAAGCTCAAAATTCTATCCTAGGTGAGCTTTCTACTGCAACCCTACCATCTGATCAGATCGAAAAAGTTTTTAATATTTTTGGACCAAAACACTGATCAGTTGAGCCAATCTTCGGATGACGATTGGAAGGTTTGCATATATAGGGAGAAGAAGAAGAATAAAAACCTACTAGAACTCAAGAACTTACGAGAGGTATGAAGTAACGGTACTTTGGATCGCACTCATGCTGCTATTATCTGTGCAAAGGGTTTTCATGGGTCATTTCTGGGTAGATCAATTACTCCAGCTTTTCGTTCTTCCTTTCTTTGAGTCCTTGGTGCAATAAGTTTATCTTCCATTTGTTTTGTTTCCGCGCCGTCCTCTTTTGGCCAACCTATATGTATTTGGGGGGTGACCCAACTAAAACGGATTGTGAATTTTGCGTAGGAAGTAGACTCCCTATTAGAGTTTGAAGATCTCAACAACTATTTTCTCCATATGTTTGGCATTTATAGCTCTCACCAACCCAACTACTTCCAAACGCCTTGTGAATTTTGCTGTATGGAGATTTTGGCGTAGATATTATAGTATTATGGTTTTGGGTATACATGTATTTTTTTTGGAGATTTTGTTGTGTGTCGTATACCGGGTGCTTTGGGTTCTAACTTAGGCCCACTCATCCAACCTATTTGTACCACTCCATCTAATATATTAGCACCTGGGCTTTATATACATATATATATATATATATATACATATATATATATATATATAACTCCCCCCCCCACAGCCATTCATATATATACATATATATATATATATATATACATATATAATGATGTTGGCCGAATCTCAACTAGGCATGCAAAACCAATCACAAAATTGTTAGATGTGAAGAAAAGAATAAAAGTAAGCAATTGGAAGATTTAGTCTCACTTCCCTTGGAGATCCTTTTCTCGGAAGTTATTTTCATGACTCATATCACATATAAAGAATTAACACCCAACATACATGCATATATTTGAGAGAGAAGCGTAAGATTTATTCAGTAATTTTTCAATCAAAACATGTCCCATTCATATTTCTGATAATAAAAGTTTGTTGGTTCTCAGAATCAT